AACCCCGGGCAGGAACCGGCGGGGGGTTTGGCATCTGCCCCATCCTCACCCGGGTACCAACCCACGACGCCTCCGAGACCACCCCGTTAGCTGGCGGGTGCGCGTTCGGTGTTGCCTGGTTTAATCTATGGTTCTTGGCAGGCTGAGCAGCCCCTGCGTTTGTTGCCAAGCTCCCCGTCAGACGCCCGGAGAAGCCCAGGGAATTGCCTAAGCCAGGCAGCAGAAAACGCTGTGTGTTCAAAGAGGAGTGCAATAAATCCGGGGGATGCCCTCTGCACCGTGCGGTGGTCACAGCGCTGTCTCTGTGCCTGGCCTGGCCCGGGCCCTCTGCCTTCGGTTTTATAGAGACTTGTTTGTCAGTGTTACTCTTGATAATGCTGAGATGGGTTATTGTGTGTCAGTACTGTTATGGGAAAAAATGAGATTTGTAAAGGTATTTGTAAAGGATCAAACTGCGCCAGGTCCCTGGGTGAAAACTTTTCTTGAACTTCCCGAGCAACTGTGGAGACACCAGAATCGGTTCTGGTTATATTTCCAAAAATATTCAACTGCACAGCTCTTGTTAACCAAACCCAATACTGACCGTACATGACACCTTGGCATGCGTGGCTCAAGGTGCACCTGGTTAGAACACGAGCATTAAGCTTTTTGTGCACTTGAGTTTTCCTTTTTCATTTCGGCACTAGTTTTATGATTTCAGGAAAGTCACTGTAAACACATTGTTTGCTCAGTTTCTGCATCTGTAAAGTGTAATCATGGATTTTGGCTGCTGGGAATTGAAGGTGGTTGGGGATTTACTCTACAGGAAATAATTATGATGTGGACTGATGGAATTTCAGCTCTAAGATGATGGCAATATTCACTTCATCTTTCTACAAGCTAAAAAACTCTGGAAAGAAAACCCCAACCCTTCATTTTAATACATTGTCCATTTTCATGTTGTGTTTGAGGGAAATTTTAAATCTGTACAGTAATTTCCTGCTGGTAACTAGTCAAACCCCACTGTGACATTTAGTCAGGCATGTCAGCTACAGACTCAACTGAACAGATCACTAGATTACTGGAGCTGCTTGTGGACTTTGATGCCTGATATATTCTCTCACATTAAAGTGAGTGTGTGCCAGCTTGTTTGAGCACCTTTTTTTTTTTTCCCTTATCTCTGACAGTGTCTACTTCAGATGGCTGAGAAAACCACCAGAGGCCCCCAGGATGTCCCCGGCTCGTCTCCTGATGAAAATGAATTTCCTTTCGGATATCCCACTAGCATTTGTGAGGATGTGCCTGATCAGAAGTACCTGTGCAGCAACTGCAATAACGTTCTGAAGAAAGCCCTGCAAACGCTCTGTGGGCATAGGTACTGCTCAGCCTGCCTCTCCTGGGTCGTACGGTAGGTTCTTGCTACAAAGGGTCACAACGCTGTGGCAGATTCTGTGGCTGCAAGCGCTCCTGAGAGCTGCATCATGCTGCTGTGCTCAGGAGATGAGTCTGTGGCTACCTGGCCCGCTGGACCACAGGCACTTCACTCTCTGGAAGTACTTACCTGCGGTGGACTGTGGGCTGCTCTCTGCCTCCTTCTTGTTTCCAGTGTGAAAGTCTGCAGGGAGGGGAAGGCTGGGCTACGGGCTTGACAGATGTCAGTTTTTCTAGATGTAAGTGTAAGATAACGATACTGATTTAACCTTGAAGAACTAGTGTAAGGTTGACTTAATACTTCCATGGGACTTTACAGTCCTTTGATAAGTGATGTCATGGGGTTTTAATGAACATTATCTTCGAGTTTTATTTTTAATAACTCAGCAGCTGGGTCACTATATGTTAAGGTGCTGCTGCTGTGACAAACAATGACAACTGTTGTCCTGGAGAACCTGAAAACCAGGGGTTAGGTGGGAGTTTGCTTTGATGGATTAGCTGCTTCTATCCTGCCTTTTCTTTCGACAATTATGCCTTGATCCAGAGCCTTTGAATCAACCTGCCCTACAGGTGAGAGGTGAAATTGCAGTACAGTGTGATGTTTTGGAAAACAGCAGCTGTCAAGATTCAGTGACAGGGCTTTAGTACGGGCTCAGTAAGTCTAAAGGCTGTTACTGCGCTTTCTCGTGGATGTGATTAGTAAGCTAGTTTGCATATGCCAGTTCACGCAGTCCCTGCTCTGATCACAGTGTGGGGCACCTGGAAAGCTGAGTCAATGCACTGGCCACTTGTGATTTGAAGATCAATATGTAATAATGTAAAAATGTATCAATAGATAAAATGTAAAAATATCGATATATAATAATGTAAAAATGTACTGAAATTAATGTATTTGACCAACTTACATACATCCATTACTGTAAATCCAGGAAAAAAGCCTCTTAATGAAGCAACATAAACTGTAAATTCAGAAAACTGTGAGCAGAACATAACCGGAATTGTTATATCTTCCCACTAGAGTCTTCTAGCACAAATGGCAAACTGGCTCAAACAAGCTCATTATTACAGTTGTACATTAGTCCAGTACCAGTCATGCTCCAGTTGGATGGATGCTTTTCTGATCAGCTTCTCAGTCTGTGTTAGTTCATGATTTGCCTGGGTGCTAAAAAGCACTGGGAATGAAATGCCACCTCTAGTAGTTTTATTTTTCAATTTTCCTGTATGAAAATCTATGCTAAATATTTTGAGAGTAGATCAAAACCTTTTTTGGGTGCAGTAGGATGTTGACAGTCTAGAACTCAATTCTGCACTGGTTCTGCTAGATCTTTGTAATTTGAAGTCTATATGTCTATCGGGGGAAAATGGGTATTTTCTGTGTTTTAAAATACTTTAGTTTTCATGTTACCTTTCCTACATGGTGTTTTTGCATAATTCATGAGATAAATAGGTTCCCAGCTTCATTGTTTTTTATGATCCAGGCTGCTCTTATTTTGCTGCAATACAGATAAGATTTATGGGCCTAGTCCTAGTCTTGAGGAATAGAACAGCAGGGTTTATTTGGTGTCTCCATGTTCAAGAATTGTCCCTTTAGTGGACAAGGGCTATGGATTCTGAGTGGAAATTACAATTTCCATGTTTTAATTTGTGTCAGTGTCTATACAAAGACCTTCTAACTACAGTACACCAACTGATTGTTATTTCTTTCTTCTTTCTTTTTGCCAGAAACAATAAAAATGCCATTTGCCAGAAATGTAAAGAGGAAGATCCCAGCATTTTAAGTGGGGGAAGCCTATTGGCAGAAGAAAGGGTAAGTTGTAGTTCACAGTTCACAAATTTATCATCAGCCATTCTCTGGGCAACTCTAAAGTCATCAGTGGACTGTGGTTTGGGAAGTAATAATATAAAATGTGATCTCAAGTGATAGTTACACATTTTAACTTATGCTTTCATCATTTGGATTTCCCACAGGTTTTGATTTATAAAAGTATAATGGCAGCCTTGGAACTTTCCAAGTCTGTCGGGATCTGCAACATAAAATCCCACGCTCCTCCATATAATTAACTTTTTATTGTCTCAGAGTAAACTGGTGCTTTCCCACTTGTGATATTATGTCTTAGCTGTTGCTTACTATCCTTAGTAAGTACCCTAGGGGATTTTCAAATCTCATGGTTCTCTGTACCCTTCAAACACGTTACCAAACTTACAGGTGGAGCATCTCTAAGAAAAAAAGCTGAAAGAAGAGTGTTGGCTGGCTAGCCAGCTGTATTGCCCAGAAAGTATTTTGACAGCCAGGTTATCTAGAGGAAATAGTGGAAAACATACAGCTGAACACAGTAATTGATAGAAACTATGCACTGGCAAATATTTCTTCTGTAATTTAACAGTGCAGATCTCTTTTGTTGTTGTGTGTTTTTTCAGGCAGACCACTGCGCTATTCTATATCCTGAATGCAAACTGAGCCACCGGGCTCAGTCTCTGCTTGTCTTTATCCCTCCTTTCTGACTGCATGCAGGAATACCCAGAGACACACATTCTGTCTAAATTAGTTAGGGAAAACTGAAGCCCAATAGGCATGTGGCAGTGAGGTAAAAGGTGAAGTTTAGGAAGCAGCTGCAGCAAAATCATGAATTTGCAGTTGATGCTGAACTTGGTAATATCTCAGAAAAAATCCTCAATTCTGCAATATATTTTCCAGTAACAGAATTTCATGCATCATGTAACCACACATAGGTACAGCTAAACCCTTATGAACTTCTTATTCTATATTGACTGTCAGTTCTCTTACAGCTTTGGTGTTTCTCTGCCGTGGGATTCTCGCTAAGTCTGCCGGGACTTTCTGCAAAGTCTGGGGGTGGGTTGCTGTAAACAGGGTCCCGCTCTCGCAGGCTGATCTGCCTGGGCAGATTCTTATGCCTGTTGAGAGTCCAGATGAAGTCGATTGTCACGAAAGCATGAGGATCCGCCTGTATAGATCAACTTACAACAAACGGTTGGAGTTTGTAAACATGAATAATGAAGATAAATTAGCAGGTTTATTCTTTGTATTTATTCCTGATAATCTCTGCTTTACCTTTGTTGTGGTTTTGCTTAATGTTTATTTCCTATGCTATCTGTTTATGTGTTTATATTTTAAATAAGATACCTACACAAGGAAAAGAAAGTCCCTATCAGGGACTGTTTGCCTTAGCTTATCCCAAGATCTATTTCTATGGTAACTCCCGTCCCTTCCCTGTTACACTGTTAATTTATAATCTCTTCCTATACAACACATACTTCAAGTCTTATCACGGTGCTGTTCATCAGTATCGGTTACTGAGCATCTACAGCTGTCACTGAAATCGGGAGTGGGGGCATCCTCCCAAGCCTCTGCTCACACCCTATGTGCCGTCGTTCATGGGGTTGGCTTAGGGGACGGTTCTGTCCTCTGAACTGAGTATGAATCACGTGGGGCTCTGCCCTCTCTGGCTGTGTTGGAGCAACTGAAGATCCTGGTTCAGCTGCAGAGGGCCAACCGTAGCCGGAGGGAAAATAACCACTAGGTTTTCCTGGAAAGCTTTTGGTCCCATTGATCTGTTTGTTAAACTTGTCGCTAGCTGATGTTCCTGACCACGAGCTGTAGACCAGAGTCCTCCCTTAGCTAGAGGCCATAAGGTACACATCGTGTGGGGCAGAGCGCCGCATGGGAGCGCATCTGGCAGCGGTTTGTGGATGGGACGTGGCAGGGGACCTCCACTGGTGTCACAGCCAGCTCTGGGACAGGCGGGACTGGGCATACGTGTGCCATGGCAGCCATCTGTGACCAACATCAGCAGCCCCTGCACCAACATCTTCCTTTGAAATAGCTAAAATGAAAGAGGGGAGATGTGCAACTGCAGTATATCAAATTAGAGAAAATATTTTCTGTTTCCTTCTGTTTGACCCAGAGCACTTTCATGTCAGTGAGAGTTATCCCATTTACTGTATGAGGGTCTGACTCGGGTCCCTAAAGAAGTTCTGTGCAAACTCAGGTTCCCAGATAAGAGGACAGAGGTTCAGGTGAATATTTCGAAGCAGCGACCTGTGCAGATAAAAGAAGAGATGAGGATTTCCTGCCTTGCTTTTTGCCGAGCAGTGTCCATAATGATTTAGCAACTACAAGTGTGAAACAAAAAGCACAGGGAATGCACACAGCAGTAAGAAACCCGTGTGCTGCTGGGACTGTCCCTGTAGTTAAATATATTTTAAATGATCTATTTTGTAATGTCAGGAAATTCCTGGAGTTTTTCTCTTATGACACAGGGGGAAAAAGCCACCATGTGCCTGATAACTTGAATTTCTTTTCTTTGATTTTGCTCATAAATTAGACTAGAATGTTTTAGAGGATAGGGCTGGTATGCT